AGTGATGCTGTGTGAGCATGCTAGTTTGTGAATCATTATTTTAGTAACATTTTGTGGGTACATCAGTTTGTGAATGTTTTAGTAATGTTTTGTGTGTATGGTAGTTTGTGAATGATCCTTTAAATAATGTTTTCTGAGCACACCAGACTAAATATTTGAGTGATTATTTTGTGCACATCAGTTTGTTAATATTTCATTAATTAATGTCTTTTGAGTAAGTTTGTGAAATGTTTGTTTGTGAATGATCATTTTAGTAATGTTTTCAGTTTGTTTGTGAATGATCATTTTAGTAATGTTTTCAGTTTGTTTGTGAATGATCATTTTAGTAATGTTTTCAGTTTGTTTGTGAATGATCATTTTAGTAATGTTTTCAGTTTGTTTGTGAATGATTTTAGAAATGTTTTCAGTTTGTTTGTGAATGATTTTAGTAATGTTTTCAGTTTCTTTGTGAATGATGATTTTCATAGTAATTTTTTTTAACACATTAATTTATGAAAAAATACACAAAAACCAACTACATCTGGACAAGGTGTGGCCTGCTTGCCATATCCAACAACTACTCTTTTTTTCCACACAGACTGTAGCAACCTTTTGTTAAGGATAATAATATTATGACACAAAGTTCACATCATTTACATACACTGTATTTTGATAATAACAAATTGTTTTAAAAATAGATAATCTTATAAGTTATTCACTGTTTCATAACAAGTCGAAGTAATAAATAATCCAAGTACCAATTGCATAAAACAACAACTCACAAGACAGGCTTATAAAGATAACAGGGATTACGGTACAAACCATATTTATGTATGTAAAGGATGCAGTATTTTAACTCTACCAGACCTCTCTAAACCGCTGTACCGCGTCTTAAACTAAAAATAACCAACCAATCCTGATCAAATCTGGTGGATAGTCACTGCGAATGACCACCCACGTGTGTTTGGATTTACTTTGTATGGTTAAACTGAAAAAAATTCTGAAAATTCACAAACAAACAAGCGGTTTGATGAACCAGGTATTTTGACAGGAAAGTGAAGCAGGTTTAGGTTTTTTCCAACAGGTGATCGATACTTTGGTTGATTCAGACTCTGAGGAGTCAGAATTTCATAAAGAAAATGTTCTCAGTGAAAGACTGAGTGATGAGGAGAATCTTGAAAAATATAGATTTGAAACTAGATCGAAAGTAAGAGAAGGGGGTGTTGCCCCTCAAACAGCAACATCTGGTGCTCACTTTGTGAAACAAGGCTGATCCTGCTGGGTGGACTGGCACACAAAGGTGGAATATTGACGCTGGATGAATTCTCCAGGTTTCATCTTTTACTAACCACTTGTTTGCACGTAACTAATATTTTTGTATACCATGTTGGTATTCTTGTTAATGCCCAGGAGCTCAAGATTAGGGGCAGTTAGGTTCAGGGCCTCAGGTCTGGTAGGGTTAACTGAAAAAAATTGATGAAAAATATGGTGCAGTTTATATTCGCGATATTAGGCCTACACATCGCTTTCTATGAAACCCCTGATTCCACTCGCAGAATTGAGATAATGAGGCTTTCTTTAACGCCCGGCTGGAGTCACTCCTGTCGAACTGCATGCTTAGTGACGACAGAAATTCCACAAATGAGGCCGCAAAAGGCTTATTTTTAGAAATGTCGAGTGGTTGTAAAATGACAGTCATCCCTCCTGGTATCACAACCGTAACATCTTTTCTGTGAAATCTCCTCAGAAAATGTCTATTATTGGCCTATGCGGCCCATCTTTTACCGCTTACAGATACTACTGTTATCGGGTTTGGTCTCAAGAAAAATTCTAAGAAAATTCAACTTCTAAAATTATTGTTTCAGAAACTGAGTGGGCATTCCCAAAAAAATTCGTAAAATGCCAAGATAGTAATCTCAGCCATCCTGCTTCACAACCTTGCACCTTGCTGGTTTACCATATATCCCCAAGTATGAGATGCACTAATTTAAAAAAATATAGGGTCTAAAAATAGTGTGCGCCTTAAACAATGGTAGTAGATTTTTATATAATCATACAAATTTTGTTCTCTCCAAACTTGAAAAAAACACTGTATTTAATTACCTGTTGAGCCACTATATACATATCACAAACCCTTCTGCAAACATCATATTTTTCTCTACTATAAACCGTCCTCTTTGGCTTGATGCTGACCACAATACCCAACATGTGCCGATTGGTCTATAAATTCTAGGTCTACCCCTATATGCCCAATACGCCGGAAGATGTGGGAAAAGTTTTTTTTATTATGCTTTTACTAAAATTACCCTGCTATAGGAAGTTACAGAAGCATAGTGCCTAGAATGTGACTTGCCAGCCCGAAAGGTCTTGTTTCGAATCCGCATCAGGCAGATTTTTTTTTCACAAACTGGCCTTGGGTCTTCCGCGCATTGGTTATGGGACCCCGTTGCAGGGAAAACATAAATAGACCCACTGCCTCCCCAACAAGCATGTGCTAGGAGTCGACTAATTGTTGGCTTCCTTCGGAGTTGGAGTGCATCTGCCCGAGCAGCAAGAAACAACCAACTGCACACAAATAAGCCAGTAAAACGGATAAACACACAAAACTCAGGCCCTGGCACAATGCCAAAGTCCAAATGGATGAACAACCAAGACTTTCCGTCGGAGCTTACAGATGGTGAACAAGAAAGAAGACCTAGGATCTCAAGTGCTGTAGTGGGAAGTAAAGTCGGCCAGTGTGATACTGACCACATCCCATACCAAGTTCAAAATGGGTGATAAAAATCTGAATATCCCTGGTGCACCATGGCCCACACGACAGGCTCCTTAACTTGGATATCTAGATAGAGAAATCAGCTCCAAAAATAATGTCATTACAATTTTGTAAAGGAAATCGACTACACAAACTTCATTACAATATCTTGGTATAGCGCAGCCGCCATGGTGTAGTTGCTAGAGCCTCACCTGGGGACCAGAAGGTCATGGGTTTGGGTCCTGTTGGAGCCGGACTTTTCTTTTAATGACATTGGCTCCCAAGTTGACCCAACCTTAAGTGGGTAGCAGTGGGAAGTTAGGGGGGGGGGGGGGGGGGGGGGGGGGGGGGGGGGGGGGGGGGGGGGGGGGGGGGTGGGGGTGGGGGGAGGGGGGGGGGGGGGGGGGGGGGGGGGGGGGGGGGGGTAGGGGGGGGGCGCTTACACGACACCAAGTGTCGACTGGTCTATAAAATATAGGTCTAGCCCTATATGCCCAATACGCATGAAGGCATGTAAAAGGGTCCTTTTCCCCTTTTTTTAACTTTAACCTTGGGAATCACAAACAAGAATTTCAAAAAATTACTGCTTCCCCACTCTAAATCTAAACAAAGAAGACATAAATATCAGACTGCCCAATTTATTTGCCTGGCATATTTCACTGAATCTCATCAGATGCGTACTACGGTAAATCCGGAATTAGCATAAGCCTTTGCGCTGGGAAAAGAAGCAGTTAATTTGAGTGTGGTGGATTTTTACATTTGAGTTGAAAGGAGTTTTTTATCTGCTTCGTCACAATTAGTAAAGCAGCATAACAGTCAAGGTCACAAATCGCTGGTATTGTCTATTTTCTTGTACGGATGTGAGAATTGGACTCTCAATGTGGAAATGGAAAGGAAGATTCAGGCTTTCGGATGTAAATGCTACAGACGCATTTTACGAATGAGTAATTAAGAACACAAAACTAATAAATATGTCAGAGACAAAATATACAAATTTGCGGGACGTCAGCAGCCTCTCTTGGCAGAGGTAAAATGTCACAAGCTAGCTTGGTTTGGGCACGTGGTGAGACATGAATCAATTGCAAAGACTACTTCAAGGAACATTGGGGGGGTAGTCGAAGAAGAGGAGGGCAAAGAAGACTCTAGAATGACAACATCAAGAAATGGAACAGGACTAAGTTATCATACACTTATTCATCAGCTAGTGCTTCCCTCGATACACCTCCACGATCCTAACGGGTCAAGGGTTATGTTATGTATTTATTAAGCTGCTACCTGACAAGACACAACAAAATATGCCAGGTAAGCACTGACGCAATATGTTGCTTCTTCTTTGTGCCAGGTAAGCATTGACGCAATATGTTGCTTTTTCTTTGTTTAAATTTACGATATCTCATTACATTACCTAGGTACAGGAAATCACTGCAAATATTTCATTACAATATCCATGTGGAGGAAGTGAAATCATAAATACACTCACACATACTACCTTCAGGAAGAATCAATGTGACAAATTTAAGGATATTCATAAACATCTACTAGCTCTTATCTGTATTGGTTAGGTGATCTCTTTCTTCACAACTGATTCTAGACATTAAGGAGACATCTCAAAGATCCTCGTGGAGGAAGTGAAATCATAAATACACTCACACATACTACCTCACACTTGTATGAACGAATCAATCGACAGACATTTATGGAGGATATAAAATCATAAAAAACACACACTAGCTCATATTTGTATGAGTTAGGCAATCAATCAATCCTTCTCATTTGATTCTAGGCACAGGGGGTTCAATGGGAGACACTTCTGGAGGATGTAAAACCACAACTCACATATATTAGCTCACATTTGTTTGATGTATGTAGGCTACCTTTTTTCCCGCCGATTCTAGGCATAACAAGTTCACTGGGAGATACTTCTGGAGGATGTAAACTCATTAAAACCCTTCAAATACTAGCTCACATTTGGAACTGGATGATTTATCCTTTGAATATGATTCTAGGCATGGGGAATCAATCATGAGACACTTCAGGAGCATATAAAATCAAAAAGACACACACATACTATTAAATAAGGTCTGTATGGGCTAGACTATATATCTCCTTCCCCAAGGACTCTAAGCTACATATTTGATTGATTTATTTTTTTTAAATCGCAACACAGGTTTTTAAAATAGAAACACCTAATATCTACACATTAACATATCCTGGGAGACATCATCAAGAGAAGTCCCGGGGAGCCACATGTCCCGCCAGGTAAATGTTGTCATACATGTGGCCAGCCAGGTCTCCGCTGAGCTCCAGAGACGGCACGGCAGGTGTTTTTGATGAACTCTCGTTTGGACATCTTGTTCTTGACCTGTGGGCTGCACAGATCCACGGATAACATGATCAGGGAGAAGCACAGGATGAAAACTGCATCTGTGGACAAGCAAGTTAAAAAAAATGGTTAATCTTATACTGCAATTGAAGAAAATCAATTTTGAAAAATCAAGAATCTAACTGTATCTAAAAGAAAATCTATTTTGAAAAAATCAGGAAATCGGGCTGCATCTAAAGAAAATCAATTTTTTTTTAAAAACAAATCTTGAATCTGACTGTATCTGAATAAAATCAGTTTAAAAAATCAAGAATCTGACTGTATCTGAATAAAATCATTTAAAAAATCAAGAATCTAAATCCATTTAAATAAAATCAATTTAACACACAAAAATCAAGAATCTGAGTGCATCTGAACAGAACTAATTTTTAAACAATCAAGAATCTGACTGTGTCTGATTTAAATCAGTTTTTTAAAAAAATCAAGAATCAGACTGCATTTAAAGAAAATCAATTTAACACACACAAAAATCAAGAATCTGACTGCATTTAAAGAAAATCAATTTACCACACACAAAAATCAAGAATCTGACTGCATTTAAAGAAAATCAATTTACCACACACAAAAATCAAGAATCTGACTGCATTTAAAGAAAATCAATTTAACACACACACATAAATCAAGAATCTGACCATATCTGGGAAAAACAATCAAGAATCTGAGTGCGTCTGAACAAAAATAATTTTTAAACAATTAGGAATCTGACTGCATCTGAAGAAAAGCAATTTTTAAAAAACAAACATCTGAATGCATTTTAGGAAAATCAATTGTAAAAAAAAAAAAACATGAATCTTACTGTATCTGAGAAAAAAATCAATTGTTAAAAATCAAGAATGTGACTAACTGAAGAAAATTAATTGTAATACACCGTAGCTCTTGTTCTCCATATCACTGTTTTATTTCCACCATGTGTATCTTGGTTTGCCTTTTTGTCTGTGACCATGTGAGTTCCGGTGCAGGGACATTCTAGTTATTTTGTTATAAGGTTTTCTCAATGTATAACCGATTCAAAAGCAGCATCTTTTATTCATGTCTTGATTCAATAGAACTTGTTTATGTCTCTCATAAAGGTTCACATTAGTCATTCTGTAATATCATTCAATTCCCTCCATTCTACACAAGCCCCAATTCAAGAAAACATTAGCAGTAAATTATTTTTGTTGTTCTTTATGTTGGCGGCTAGACGCCCGCCTGCGGATCAGAAAGTCGTGGCTTCACGTCCTGACTGAGCTGTACTATTGTTTTTCCAAAATGACCTTGACTCCCAGGTAGACCCAGCTTTGAGTGGGTACCAGGTGCCGTTCTAGGGAGAAAAGGCGGCCGCCGTGATGCTGACCACATCACCCATCAAGTGCTGATTGGTCTATAAAATATAGGTCTAGCCCTATATTCCCAATACGCCCAAAGGCGTGGAAAAGGGACCTTTACTTAACTTTCACGTTTAAGCACCATATAACAGTAATGATTATTTATTTAATATAATACACAAATTTGTTTTTAAACCGTCAGTGGTAGGAATCAATGGCAGGAATTCTTCTTCTTCAGCGATCTCTGGTCATGCGCATAATCCACTGTGGGTCATAAACTGGGATGTCTTTTCAAGGTCTCTTAGGTTTCCCCGAAGCTTAGTTGTCAGTTCTACTGGGTGTTGCCATATGTCGCTCCACAGCTCCGCCAGGAGAGGACAGTCTTGCAGGACATGTTCTGGAGTCTGTTCAGCACGAAGGCACTGGCAGAGAGCTGTTTGGCTCATACCTAATTTATGTGAGTGTTTATTGAGTCTGCAGTGTCCAGTGCGTAAGCGAAAAACTGTGAGGCAGGAATTCATTGCATACACACATAGACAAAATAATTGTATAAAATGCAGTTTCTGCTGGCCATACATCATAATAAACTATTGAATCTATCTTTACTGTCTGAATTGATCACTTTTTAAAGTAGCACAGGCAGGTCATTAATGTGAATCTTCAGGCCCCAGTGGCTAGTGCAGTTGCCAGGAAATTTGCAGGTTAAAGACTTTATTTTTGCCGTCAGGTAAAAAAAAAAAATCTTCATTTGAGGATCTTCTACTTCTTCGCATTCCCCGCCTGTACATCCTGCCGAAAAGTTCCGTGTTCATCCACCTCTGGACTTAGGTCTTGTTCCAGAATCTGACTGTTGCATGTGCATCCATTTTACAGATCTGACTTTTTATGCAGACTGCTTGTTCGCTACCTCTCAGGCAGATGCATTTCAACTTTGAAGGAAGCCCCCCAAAACTCCTACCACATGCATATTAGTCTCTTCTTGTCTTCCCCCCCCCCCCCCCCCAACAAAAGGGCACCAGAACCCACAAACCAATTTATGTCCATTTGACAACTACAGGAGTGATATACTCTTCAAAAGCAACAGAGTATAACACTACTCATCATCATCATGTAGCAGGTCTAACCTTGGTCTCTATGCAGGAGCACCCAGTTATCTAACCATTCCACCAGCCACTCCTCCCAACCCACACACACAAACGAACAAAACACACAAAAAATCCGTCCTGACCTTTACTGAGGCCAAGCTTGGGGTTGCAGGCACAGAACCGTTTAGAGAAGTTCTCAATCATCATTGTCAGTGTGCTTCCCCTGTCTCTAGGCGCTGACACCTCTCGGAAGAACTTCCGCAGGGCATTAGGTAGGAACTGGTTCTGGAAGTGTTGCAGCTGCACAAGGCACTCAAGTACATCTGGCCTTGAATGACACAAGAAAACTTGTCAGTACATGACAGCTGGGCGCTTGTAGTGGCAAAACATAAGACAGTCAGGTCAGACTTGGTTCCATTGGGGACAAGACAGAAGACAAACGAAAATCCTCGGAGTAATTTTTCCTCTTCATTAGCTGGTTCTGCACCAATTGGTCGATAACTGAGGTAATGCAAAGTTATATGTGGTAAAGACCCTTTGGGAAAGAGTCAGCAGTGCGAAGTACAATTGAATCATCACAATCTGTAGAGAAAGTTGCAGCGGTGAACTGAGCAGGCGATCTGAACGACACTCAACACTCAGAGGAATGGCGAGATGGACAACAGTCAGTCTGCTACTAATACATATCAGAATTGGAATTCTGCGCTGGCTACTGAAAATGGGGACGGAGCACACACGGAAATTTTAGAGTGCTGTGATGTCAGTTTTTTAGCTTAATTAATTCTTTTCATTAGACCAAAAATTCAATGACATATTAGTTGTTAGTCGAGATTCCAAAAAAGCTGCAGACGGGGCAGGGGTTCGCCCCAGTGCTGCTGCCATGTTCCTGTAACAGAGGAACGTGATATCTCCTCAACAGAACATCTGGCTTTGAATGACATAAGAAAATGTGTCCCTATATGACACTTGAACAATGTCAGAAAACTGTTTACTATATAGTGACACCTGAACGATGCCAGAAAACTTGTCACTATATAATGATATCTGGCCGATGTCAGAAAACTTGTCACTATATAATGACACCTGAACGATGCCAGAAAACGCGTCACTATATAATTATATCTGGACGATGCCATAAAACTTATCACTATATAGTGACACCTGAACGATGCCAGAAAACTTGTCACTATATAATTATATCTGGACAATGCCAGAAAACTTGTCACTATATAATGACACCTGAACGATGCCAGAAAACGCGTCACTATATAATTATATCTGGACGATGCCATAAAACTTATCACTATATAGTGACACCTGACGATGCCAGAAAACTTGTCACTATATAATTATATCTGGACCATGCCAGAAAACTTGTCACTATATAATGACACCTAACGATGCCAGAAAACTTGTCACTATATAATGACACTTGAACCATGCCAGAAAACTTGTCACTATATAATGACACCTGAACCATGCCAGAAAACTTGTCACTATATAATGACACTTGAACCATGCCAGAAAACTTGTCACTATATAATGACACCTGAACGATGCCAGAAAACTTGTCACTATATAATGACACTTGAACTATGCCAGAAAACTTGTCACTATATAATGACACTTGAACTATGCCAGAAAACTTGTCACTATATAATGACACCTGAACCATGCCAGAAAACTTGTCACTATATAGTGACACCTGAACCATGCCAGAAAACTTGTCACTATATAATGACACTTGAACCATGCCAGAAAACTTGTCACTATATAATGACACCTGAACGATGCCAGAAAACTTGTCACTATATAATGACACCTGAACCATGCCAGAAAACTTGTCACTATATAATGACACTTGAACTATGCCAGAAAACTTGTCACTATATAATGACACCTGAACCATGCCAGAAAACTTGTCACTATATAATGACACTTGAACCATGTCAGAAAACTTGTCACTATATAATGACACCTGAACCATGCCAGAAAACTTGTCACTATATAATGACACCTGAACAATGCCAGAAAACTTGTCACTATATAATGACACCTGAACGATGCCAGAAAACTTGTCACTATTTAATTATATCTGGACAATGCCAGAAAACTTGTCACTATATAATGACACCTGAACAATGCCAGAAAACTTGTCACTATTTAATTATATCTGGACAATGCCAGAAAACTTGTCACTATATAATGACACCTGAACAATGCCAGAAAACTTGTCACTATATAATGACACTTGAACCATGCCAGAAAACTTGTCACTATATAATGACACCTGAACCATGCCAGAAAACTTGCCACTATATAATGACACCTGAACCATGCCAGAAAACTTGTCACTATATAATGACACTTGAACTATGCCAGAAAACTTGTCACTATATAATGACACCTGAACGATGCCAGAAAACTTGTCACTATATAATGACACTTGAACCATGCCAGAAAACTTGTCACTATATAATGACACCTGAACGATGCCATAAAACTTATCACTATATAATGACACCTGAACGATGCCAGAAAACTTGTCACTATATAATGACACTTGAACCATGCCAGAAAACCTGTCACTATATAATGACACCTAACGATGCCATAAAACTTATCACTATATAGTGACACCTGAACTATGCCAGAAAACTTGTCACTATATAATGACACCTGAACGATGCCAGAAAACCTGTCACTATATAATGACACCTGAACGATGCCAGAAAACTTGTCACTATATAATGACACTTGAACCATGCCAGAAAACCTGTCACTATATAATGACACCTGAACGATGCCAGAAAACTTGTCACTATATAATGACACTTGAAGGAAAGTTGCAGTGGTGAACTGAGCAGGGGATCTGCCAGACACTCGACACTCAGAGAAATGACAAGATGGACAACAGTCAGTCTGCAATTGGTACATACCAAAATTTGAATTCTGCACTGGCTGCTGAAGATAGGGATGGGGCACAAAAAGTGTGCTATTGAACCAGTTCTTACCCCTACTCAATCCTCTCGAGCAATTCAATGAAAATCTTAAGATTACCTCCACACACAAAAACACACAAAATAATAAATAAATCCTGACAAAAAAACATTCATGCTAATACCTGTGTTGCAGAAATTCCAACTTCTTGCTTGGCCACAGGCGTTTAGTAGAATGCAGAAATCTGGCTATCTCTATCGGTTTGTCAAGGAGGATTCCTTTTGACGTAAGATAATGTATGCCCTTGAAAAACAAACAAATAAAAGCATATGAAACACAATAAATGACCACAATCATTCACTGAATACAAACTATGACTATGTATTATGACTATAGTTAGTTATCCAGCTGCATAAAGAGCTGCAGACAACAAAACTCGGCAGTGGAGGGAGAAGTTCAATCCTTGATTCTTGAGAATTCTGATGGTGGAGCAGCACTGATGGATCCGATGTTTAACATCTGCAAAGCTCATGGGTTTCCATGGTTTTGGTTGGAGTCAACTGTAACGGAGAGAGCTGTAACTGAGAGAGCAGTGCTTTAGCCTTGACTATAGGTAGTCTCTATGGAGGTGATGGCAGTAACTGAATGTTGAATTAGGAATCAACATCCCAGCACTCTGGACACTTCCAATTCTGATGGCGGTAACTAAAGCAAAGTAACTAAAACCTGGCTAGAGACAGATTTTTTTCGCCACATTTGCCTTTGTAACTTATTCCATAAACATGCTTATGAAGATCGAAAAAGGATGGGTTGACGACAATGGTTGCAGTCTCTGAGGAAATCTGGACTGACAGGAATCATGTGTCATTTATGTTCCAGAACACTCAGGGTTAAAAGGGAATGAATGAGCAGACTGGCTTACTGGCATTGCCACGGTAAGTACAGGAAAAGCAATGTACCCAATCGGTGTTCTCAATGCTCTCAAGGAAGCAGGGTGGGAAGATGATTCAGGAGATGGCAGTAAATTGGCAATCTTGACAAGACTAAAGAAAGTTCAGGCCAAAAAAAGGTATTGTTAGACATCAACGTTATACAGGTAGCCAAAAAAGAATAGTAAATCAATACAGAACTGGTATTATCAATCACCACACTTTGAGGAAGATAGTGCAGATATGATTCAAACACTTATGGAACTGACTAATGTATGGTGAGGATGGTCGGTCGATTAACTAAAAGGATGCAACATTATATTCTTCCTCTTTGCATTCACTGGCTGTTAACACTTGTGAAAAGTTCTGGTTGTTTGTCCATCTCTTAACTTTAGTCTTGTTCTGAACCTGAGTGTTGCATGCACATCCATTTTACATATCTGACTTATCTGTATGCAGATTGTTGGTTCCTTGCCTCTCAGGCAGATGCACTCCAACTTCATAGGAAGCCCCCACACAGTCGACTCTTACGACATGCTTTTGGGTAGGCAGTGGGTCTTGTGTTTCTTCTTAATGGGGTCCCAGAACCGACAGAGGGTCAATGTTGCATTAAAGAATTAGCTGGAGAAAAATAGGTAGGAAGCTTGCAAGAGGTAAGGCAATGTGACATGTGGGTAAATAAGATCAAGAGAAATGCTGGAAGAAAGGGCTGGTTATCTGTTTCTTCTTCTCTCTGTATAAGTAACTTGTTGAGGCAATTGGGCCGGGGTGGGGGGGTGGGGGTTTGCGCACGCTCGCGGCAGAGACGGTAGATATAGTGATCTTCTCTGTGATCTTTTTAGTGGACTGTGTAAGCTGTCTTAATTCCTGTAAAGATGTTATTAATGTTACAGCTGCCATAATCATCTGCATGGTTTTCTTGCTCTGTGATCATTAAACTTCATCAATGTGTCTCTCTGTGGCAGTTGGTATCACAGCATTATTATCAGATGACCAAACCATTTCATTTACTGTTCCCTGATGAGCGGTATGATTTATTTCAGTCCTAGCCTTCTAATGTCTTAATTTTAATTGATCTCTCTTCCTACTCTGGCAGCTATTGTTTAACACATCCCCTGAAAGATTAGACTGTCCCATGACCTGTAGATTTTCCCTCTTTGGGGTAGGAAATTAATAAAGCACAGAAAATTGTAATTTTGTGATATCAGATTTAACAAATAAACTGCTATCAACATTTCTTTTTTTTTAGTTGTCAGGTTTGACCGCAAAACAATACCCCCAGTTCTGCCAGTCCACGGGTGTAAAACAGGTTAAAAAACACTGCTTCAGAAAACAAGGGAAACAACAAACAACCCACAACAATGCCCGACAGAAGAACACAGAAAATGCAGCAAAGCTATATCCAAAGGCAATTTACTCACAGCACTAGGGTCAGTGTTGAATGTCAGGCAAGCCTCGTCCAGCAACATAAACAACTGCTTGTAGGAGAACTCTTCATGTCTCTGTATGTTGTAGATGCTGACGCTGCCCCAACAACTCCTGCACAGACTGAAATGGATGACAAACTTACTATTACTCTTTACGAGCGCTAAGGAATTTCATCTACATTGTAAACTGCTTCAATCATAAAAATTTTTTTAAACAATACTCCTTTACCCAAAAGTCTTTACATTTTGTCATGTTTATGATGTTGTATGACAAGCAGTTATTAGAGTTTATCATGTTTGTGACTTTATTTCAACTTCACAGCAAACCTGTCACACACCACAGCTGGTTCTATACTGTTGTGCCAATGAAAACTATACAGAGTGTCCATCACTGTCCCTAGTGGAAAAACTGATGCTAACTGATGTCTCAGCATATCCAATAGCATACACAGGCATTAAATGCATAAGGCAGCTATCAGAAGTGCTAACACAAACAGTCTGACACAAGAAATGTAGTTCATCATCAATGGAAGCAACAGTTACAATAGAACAGTACTTCCAGGGCCCTATTATAGGGAAAACAAGAATAGACCCACTGCCTACCCAAAAGCGTGTCGTAAGAGTCGACTAACTGAGAGCTTCCTTCAAAGTCGGAGTGCATATGCCTGAGAGGCAAGGAACCAGCAGTCTGCATAAAAATGAGTCAGATATATCAAACGGATACACATGCAACACTCAGGTTCTGGAACAGGACTGCAGTCCAGAAGTGGACGATTAACCAGAACTTTCCGCCGGAGTTTACAGCTGGTGAACGCGAAGAAGAAGAACAACCTGTGGAAAAGATGTGGGTTTTAAGAAGAATGCAAAGAATACCACGGAGGACAGAAAAACAAACGAAGCAGTTCTGATCGAGACAGAAGAAAGTCGTAAACTAATCAGATCAATCAGGCATAGACGATCAGTGGCTTTTTTTGTCTGGACATGTAATGAATAGTGAACTTGAGAACTTGGCAACAGCTGACAAGACTGATGATAAGAGAGCAAAAGGAAGGTAAAGAGATAAATACATGAATGGCCTGGCAGCATGGATGAGACACGACAAAAACACTGAACTGATCTGTGGTTCTGGTGATCGTGTGAGATGGGGAAACATGACAGCCTATGATAGCACATGATGTTGATTGTATTATTTGATTTGATTCAAGAACTGACATCACAGCACTTAGGGCATTCTCTTAAGGGCTCCGTCCCCATCTTCAGCAGCCAGCAAAGAGCTCCGATACTAATAGTGCCAGTAGCATTTTTACTAAACGTCTATCTTGCCTTTCCTCTGAGCCTCCACCACTTGCCAGAACTTCTTGTCACTCCCCCCTGCATCAATCTCACCAGACTGTGGTGATCCATCTGCTCCTCCAAACTGTACGTTGGACTTGGGCCACGGGCTCCAGAAGATCCCCATTTTCAAAACTCTGACCCCTAGGCGAAATTCATTAAATAGTTCAGACATGGACCTTCTGTGCAGCAGGCACAAATCTAGCTACTACATTACTGTAGCTTGCTTGCTACACAATAATGATCATATTTAACATACCTCTGCCAGAGAAGTTCATCATTAGCCAGGTGGGACCAAACACAAGCAGCCAAACACAGATCTGTGGCATCCAGATGGGATAACACTTCCAGGCCTATAATATTAAATAAAAATTATTCTTAGAAGACTCGGGTCTATTTAAATTAGCACAAATGTTAACTAAACATAATAAAAAAACAATCCCCGTGTGGGTTCAGGGTCCCTGTTATAGAGAAAACAAGAAAAGACCCACTGCCCACCCAAAAAGCATGTTGTAAGAGTCGACTAATTGACAGCTTATTTCAAAGTCGAAATGAAACCGCTTGAGAGGCAAGGAACCAGCAGTCTACATACAAATGATTCAGATCTGTAAAACGGATGCACACGCAACACTCAGGTTCTGGAAGAGGACTGCAGTCCAGAAGTGGATAAACAACCAGAACTTTCCACCAGAGTTAACAGATGGTGAACGCGAACAAGAAGCATAAAAACAGTTATCAAATAAAAATGCTCACAACACATTTTCTCAACAGAATTCATAAATTTAGATGCCTGTGCACACTGATAATTTCAGAATCAATGTGCACCCTATAATTTAAGATAAGAATGAGAACAAACAAAATTAAAGTATTCTATAAACTCTTCTTCCGGCTGTTTACCCTTAAAAAGGCAGTTGGCAGGTTGTGTTGTGTGGTTTACAGCAAAAATGTGTTATCCGCGCTGTTTAGACTGGGTTGTCCCAGAAGCCAAGGTCAACGTTATTTTTTTTTTTTTTTTTAAAAAGGCCTCCATGCTGATTTAAACTACACCACTACTAGTCACTGACTTACCACAGCTCTCTTCTATGATTGGTAAATGTAATGACGAACCATGCTTAACTATTTTCACAGAAAAACAAGTTCACAATATGCTCTTTTGTTACTGTACGCAAACTGCAGACCATTATTAGACTAAATAACAATAGACCAAATGCTGCAGACTGAATGACAGCACAACAATCATTACACACCAATTTCTGGTGGCAGTTCAGCCAGATCAGGGAATCGGTTGGACAGCTGTGACTGTCTGTCATTCTCTCTATCAGATACACCGCGATCCTCCAAACGAGAAAGCTCTACTGGCAAACCAAGAAAATCTTGTGGTCGAAAGCCAACTTCTTGGAGTCTGAAAACAAATATGGCAACATTACTTCAGCCAACCCTATCATCCCCGGAATGATATATCTAGTTCCTTCCAGTTGTGACACAGCCCCGTGAATGCAGACATTTCACACTTTCTACAGTGACCTCTTCCCATTTCCGAGTGACCTCTTCATGAAAATCGTAGTTAAATTCCACTGGTTCTTTGTGTACCTGTGTAGTGTTTATGAGGCCCAAACCTGAATATATTACCTAAACCTAGCATTTAGACGTGTTTCTTTGTGAATCAGAAGGCTTTTTTAAAGCCAGATGACTTAAAGTGTTCCTGTCAGCTTCAGTGATTGAGGTCATGACATGAGTCACCCAATATATATTTGTTTCAGGCCGCAGGGAATGATTTTCATTCAATGCTTTGCTTTGCTCCTGTTTACTAATTACTCCCTTCGTAAAGTTTATAAATTTGTAAATGAAAATTAACAAAATAAAGATAAATAATTTTTCTTTATTCTATTAGTTACCAGTGTACAATAATTTTAATTTTTTTTTTTTGAATTCTTATTTAGAAATGCCAGGGGTTTAAGGGCAATTTTTTTTTAATTGCTGTGCAAAATGGTTAAATTGTTTACAGAAAAGTTTATTATCGTGTAGCAGGTCCTTTGCAAATTGTCGTTCTCATCACGGTCTGCCTGAGTCTCTCGCCAGCTCTCCCACCTCAGGTACCTTCATACTCAGGGAGTCACCTGTATCCTGTGCCCATCTTTATGTTGGTCAGCTCCTGCCCCTCCTGTATGGTACCATGCCTTCTGATATTATTATAAAGTTACATTCAAGTTTTCAGAGTTATATAAACCCAAACCCCAGTAGACAAAGCTGAGAGGATCCCACATAACATTTCTTCGCTGAAGACTGTCCATCTACCGAGAGTGCTGCACAAAGCACAAACTCCATAGCTTCAGCGATCTCTGGAAAAACTGCACTCATGAACCAAATGATGCAGTCTGTAGAACAAACCCATGACCTCCAGAGCTTGAAACCCAAACTTTTGTATCAATGAAAGAAAACAACTTAGTTTAACAGCATGAGCTACAACTGCTTGTGACCAAAGAGTTAAAAACTAATGAGAACAAACAGAAGACTCAAGAAGATAAATTTAAAAAAAATTTTGTGAACAGTGTAGAGTAAAAGCCTGTTAGAAGCCAGCTTCATAACTCAAGTGTTGATTGTTTTATTTGCTAGCGTTGTGTGTGTCAAGCTCTTCAGAAAACAATGTTAGTTAGTTAGTCTTTCCTCTTGTGTCGAGTGCGGCACATAGGGCAGAGGTCATGACTCTCCATGCATGGCGGTTCGTTGCAATCCGTTGTAGGTCTTGGATGTTTGAGTGGCCCATGAGCGAGCCTTCCCTGATGATAGTTCTACGTAGGGTTTCCCTTGGTCTTCCACGAGATCTTTTCCCCTGTGGTGTCCAAATGAGGGCTTGGTAAGGAAGTCTTGATTTATCCATTCTAAGGGCGTGGCCGACATAGTTCCAGCGGCGTTTTCGTATAAAATTAGACACATACTCTTGCCTGGATTCTTGCCTTATTTGTGTATTTGTTCGGAAATCTGACCATTTGAAATTTAGTATTCTTCTAAAGCAATGGCAAACTAATAAAGGCAAATTGTCTAGTAATATCACAAACTGCCAACAAATGCAGTGGTTGGTTTGTGATGCTCTTGACAGAACTGAAGTTAGGGGCCTCGATTTTGTGGGTTGGAAATAGGGGAGGGGGATCTCTACCCCTTATCAAGCATGTTATGAAAGACGACTAATTAAAGATTTGCTGAAATTTGATGTGTTGGACCCAAAGGCAAAGATATCGCAGTTTAGCTGTAAACCACAACACAATGTGTCAACATCTCCTTCTAAAGTGACCACAAGAGGAGGAAGAGAAGAAGAAGCAGAAGATGAAGAAGAAGAAAAAGAAGAAAAAAGACACACAACTAAATTTACTTTAATGTTAACAAGCCCTTACCTCCTTATCACCTGTCCCATTTATAACAACCATGAGACAACCATGAAAGACCACAAATAACAAGTCCTTTCTTGGCCTGCCTGCTGGTAACACCAACAGATCGAGGGTGGATCAAATCGTTACTTTAAGTTTTGCACAGTCCATCATTGTTAAGTCTGTATCCATCTCTTGCTCGTAATTTCTTGAAATGAAGTCCTGAAATATTTGGAAAAGGAAAGAGAATTTTTAAAAAGTCAAATCTGGAAAGCATTTCATGACCATCCACAAAACAAAACAGGTAATGGTAATTATAAATAAATGATGATGAAAAACATCATTGACAGTCAGTTGATGAAACATTATGTGGAGACTTCAGAGATGTGGTGTTACAGACAACTGATAAGAACACCATGGACAGAAGTCAGTGAAAAATTATGAGGAGGCTGCAGAGATATGGTGTTACAGACAAATTATAAAAACACCATGCACAGTCAGTCGGTGAAACATTATGTGGAGGCTGCAGAGATATGGTACAACTGACAAATTGGGCACACAGACCTGTCTTACATTCGCCATTTTCATGCACTTATCTTTCAGACCACACTGCATGTGATGTTTATTTTAAAATATACATAATGAAAAAATGCATCACATATCAAATATACACAATCATATACATGTGCACACATACTTTTACATACCTATGCATACACACTCATACCTATAACATACGTATACAGACGCTCATACAAATACATAAAAGCGCTCATGCAGACATATATACATGTACCCATCTTTCAGACCACAACTGCATGTTATGTTTATATGAATTTATACATAATGAAATGAGGCATAAAATGAGGAAATGATGCTGATATACATAATCAGGCACACTAAAAGTGTCACATACATATACGTATATATAGACATACTCTTAAATGCCCATACATATATGACACCCAAACCCTCATAAAATTACTTACAAGTGCTCATACATATACCGACATTTATGTGTAGACATACATCGACTCAAAATTATATACATACACATATGCATAAACACTTTTATAAGCACATGCACTTATACATATACAAGCACATATACATCCACACACATGCACTTGCTTGCATGCAGATACATAAGTATATCAACACCTGAATACATAACATATACAAACATAAATTCACATTCACACAAGCCCAAACACCAATTCATATCACATTCATAAATACTCATGCATAGATGTTGTGTGAAAGCGAAATGCAAGAACTTGGATTTAAGTGTGGAAGAGTTGACCAATCCGTCGACCTCACTCTCTCGCTTGTGTCCATTTTGATGCAATGGCAGGACAATGTTGAGATATTGGAAATGAACAAAGGTGCAATGGATGACCAAGGCATCTTAAGTAAACATGCATACACAAACATCCATACATACATAACCGCCTCATCATACACAAACATCCATACACACCATTACAACATCATATATACACAAACAACCATACACTACACACCATTACAACCTCATATATACACAAACAACCATACACACCATTACAACCCCATATATACACAAACATTCATACACACCATTAAAACCCATATTTACACAAACATCCATACACACCAATACAACCTCATATATACACAAACACAGCTCTACTTTGAATTTCCCCATAAAATGGCGGATGTAATATGATGGCACATTCTGGCCATAAAATATCCAAAAATATCTTAACGGTGTTCACGTATATCTAAAATACGGACTTTCTGCCAAGGGACAAATCACGGCAAAACTAGGATTACTTGACAATCAATATCAACATTGCACACGGTAGAAGCAGACAATAAATACCGACCGTTGACAACAATTTTGAGCGTTTCTGCAGACAACGATACTAGCGAGATATTAGCGACCGTTGACCAATTTCGAGACATTACAGACGATGAAAGCCGATTAGCAATACTGTGTTCTTCCGATTGGAGGATTTAGAAGCGGTAGATGTCAGACTTGTCGGCATGCGCCAAACGCGATTAAACTCATCACCGAGCGTATCCCCCGCGCCGCTACGCGCGGTACAGATGGGCGGCTAAACTAGGTGCCTGGGAGTCATGAGTAAAGTAAATGGAGGAAGTTGCAGGAGATGCGGTAGCTGCCGCTCGTGAGTCCCACGCCATCTAGTTTAGTCCCCATCGGCGCAGCGCGTAGCGACACGGAGGATATGGTCGGCGGTGAGGGCACACTCGCAGAAGCAGGTCCACAAGTAACGTATCGCCGAGACCCTGTTAGAGCATTTGTTTTGTTATGCGGAGCCGACACATATATTTTTAATAGAACTGAGCCCCATTCGGATATTTTTGGATATTTTATGGCCAGAAATTGGCCAATTTAGCTCTCTTTGGAACGGCATCATATTACGGCCGCCATTTTATGGGGAAGTTCAAAGTAGAGCCAATATAACTCACTTACTGGGATGTTTTATGTAGCGACTATAGGTGTTCGACAATTGGCGGTCTTTTGGCAATTTCCGTTACCACGGAAAACGTTCGAAACTTGCTTCGCAAATGTCGGCTGGGGTTTCGGGATGGGTCCTAATCTCTCATGAAATTTTGCGATTGGTGTGATTTTCACCCACTATAAAAAGCTGAAAACGGCGGGAAGGAACCCGATTAACAGCGCATGTGTACGACATCCGGACGTCCCTGTTTTTCTGTTACATCAGTTTGAGTGAAAATAGCGATAAGTGTTCAAAGTTGGCTTTAGGCCTTAAACATTACCAGACATGGTAATGCTAGTTATAATTGAATTCTCCGTCCAATTTTACATTTGTGTATACAATTTCTTTCTTGTCTGTGGCTGTTTAGATGTACAGTGACATTTTTCAGGCAATCGCTAATATGTGGCTGTGTCTGAGAAAAATTGTCTGCCATCTTGTCCAATGAAAACAAAGCCAAAACGATGTTGCACAGAAAAAAACTTCTTGTTTCTCAGACACAAGTTTTAGCAGCTGTTTTTTACATTTCATCTCCACAAAAACCTACATATCTCAGCTCAGAAATGACATACAAGCCTAAATGAGGTACCGTTGGAAAGAGATAGTTTACAGCTATCTAACTGTGCTGGTTTTATTCTGAAGCCATCAGGACCAACATAAACACATCAACAGAATTGCTACATAGATTATTCAGTAAAGTCTGGGAGACCGAAGAAATACCAGCAGACTGGAGGGAAGGATATCTTGTGAAACTGCCCAAAAAAGGTGATCTACAGGAGTGTGAAAACTATAGAGGAATTATGTTGCTGTCAGTTCCTGGAAAAATATTAAGTAGAATTATTTTGGAAAGATTAAAAGATGCTATTGATAAAATGCTAAGAAATGAGCAGGCGGGTTTTCGGTCCAACAGATCCTGTACTGATCAGATAGCCACATTACGTATTATAATAGAGCAAAGCATTGAACTGAACTCACCACTTTACATTGGATTTATAGACTATGAAAAAGCATTTGACAGCATTGATAGGGAATCTCTCTGGAAATTGATGGGGCACTATGGAATCCCACAGAAAATTATCAACTTAGTAAAGGCAACATATAAAGACATGAATGTCGAGTTCTTCATGAGGGAAAGCTAACAGATGCATTTTGAAATAAAAACAGGCGTGTGCGACAGGGATGTCTTTGTCGCCTCTCCTATTTTTACTGGCTATAGACTGGACTATGAAAACAGTAACTGCTAACACCAAGAATGGAATTCAGTGGACCCCTACAAAACAGCTTGATGATCTGGACTTCGCTGATGATATTGCCCTTCTGTCCCATTCGCGGAATCAGATACAAGATAAATTAAATATACTTAATGCGAGATCACAGCAGCTTGGTCTGAAAATCCATAAAGGAAAGACAAAGATAATGAGAATAAATCAGGCAAATAGTAATGTGGTTTCTCTTGATGGCACCCCACTTCAAGACGTGGAGTCGTACACCTATTTGGGCAGTAATGTAGATAAAGATGGAGGAACTGATAGAGATATTAAAATAAGAATACAAAAGGCAAGAGGGGCTTTCATAGCACTAGGGAATTTGTGGAGGTCAAAAGAAATTAAAAGAAATACTAAACTAAAAATTTTTAATTCTAATGTCAAATCAGTACTATTGTATGGGGCGGAAACATGGAGAACAACGAAGGCAATTACTAATAAATTACAGACATTCATTAACTGGGTGCCTGCGCAGAATAGAGGGAATAAAATGGTATGATAGAATAACTAATGTAGAACTTTGGGAGAGAACTAAACAGGCTCCAGTGGATCAGGAGGTGAGGAAAAGACGCTGGCGTTGGATAGGGCACACACTGAGAAAACAGGAGAACAGCATAACTAGAATGTCTTTGCATTGGAACCCACAGGGGCATAGGAATAAAGGAAGGCCAAAAAACACATGGAGAAGAGAGCTGGAGAATGAGGTTAGAAAGATTGGGAGGACATGGGGAGAGCTCCATGTAATGGCGAAGGATAGAACGACTTGGCGTGAGTTGGTTGAGGGCCTATGCTCCATTGGGGGATAAAAAGGCAGAAGAAGAAGAACTGTGCTGGTTTTATTGGTATAGAGGGCATTTTAAAAATTTGACTAAAGTATCTAGTTTTATTTTTATGTTTATTTATTTATTTATGTTATCCAGTTATCAGTTTCAAGATATTCATTCTATGCATTTAGCATATCTTTTCTATTACAATTCATAAAATAAGCAATGAAAAAGGCTGTATGGACTTTTATTCAACTCACAAAAATCAAACAACTTTATTTTACTGTTAGAAATTTTATAACAAAATCATAACATAACCGAACGGGAGACCTATCGACATTAGGTGACGGCGGATATGAAAGGTAACCGTAAATATTATTCAGCGATGACACATACACAAGCAAAATTATCAGTACTGTGATACCTCCTCTGAGAAATCCAACTCATCCAATAGCCTATAAAGACTAAATCTGCTAAGTTAAAAGCATTTTGGACATTTCCAAACAGAAGTCGA